TTATTCAACGACCCAAACTGGGAAATTGTTGAACATTTTAGACATCGACATATTTGGGATATTCCATATACAGAAGCATACGACATTACAGTAGTTCAAGATACCGAGTCTATGAATGTTGACTTAGTCGTGGAACTCTCCAAGATTGACACTTTGTTGTGGAATTGACCTGATATATCATCTGATGTTGTCATGTCCGATGTTGATGCAATTTTAAAAGACAAGTCTTCCGTTGGGGATAATGACTCTGATATACTGGTCGAGGATGACGAAGAAAACTATGTTAAAGAAGCCATCGATGATTCTAAGGATGATAGTAACATAATTGAGGGGGCGACAATCAAGACATTAGCAGTGATGATGAATAGAAATTATGCACTGTGATTATTGTTTTAATAATTATAATTATTCATATAGCATAAGAATTATATAAATAAGATAATAACGTTTATGATGACTTCTTAACAGGCAATCATGTCTGGCCCAGTCACTACATGTGCTGGCTCTTCAGGGGGAACGCAGCCTCCACCCAATCCTTATAGGTTGCCATCATACTGTGAGTCTAGTATGTTAGAACATAATTATAAATTTGTTAAATTAATTACATCAGTATTATATGATCACTAAATATATTTCATTCTACAACACCCGATGCTGCACCTCGACGACATCGTGGAGGTCGAGGGAAGGCTAAGGGTCATGAAATCACAGCCAGAGTGGAAAAGGAAGGAAAGATCACCCCTATATTTGATGAACATGGAGGTACTTGGAAGGCAATTGGAAACTACGACACATGATTCTATAGTGCCGTTGAAATCCATGTTAGGGATGTCTGTGAGCCTTTTCACGATGCCTGGAAGGACGTGGACATCCAGCATAAGGGAGAGATTCAACAGCGCATGTTTATATTGTATTACAAGAATGGTTCGACCTCGATTATGACTGGGATAATGGTATACTTAGATCTGTGGTCGACCAGGAGGCTGTAAAATATTATAAGGATTGAAAAAGCGACCTCCATGACTATTTCAAAGATCTTGGTGGTTCACAAAATGAGAGTGCAGTTACGGCTCACCCTCCTAAAAACCTCAGGAATCCATATCACTGGGTCGTTGATGCGATAGATTCATGTCTGACAAGTTTCAAGTAATTAAATCTCTTTTATATGTTATTTTTATAACATATATAATAAAGGTTAATTTTACTAACGTTGAATGTAATCATAAATAGAAAAAGTCGGGGATCAATAAACTTATTCGTAGCAACCAAAAGTGGTCGCGTTTTCATGGTCAGTTGTCGTACTCCCAACATTGCGAGAAGAAAGTAAGTATTTGTTAATAATTTATTCAATATAAATGTTAATTTGGTAATCGATTACACTATATTCATATACATTTAAACTACTATACAGTCTACCACAGGGACTCAACAGCCGATGTCCGCCATCGATAACTGGGGAGACATGCATCGTCGTAGGGATACTTGGGTTAATCTTCAAGTTGAGCAGACTTTTGTAAGTGTACTCGTAATTTTAATTATATTTTTTTATTTAAATCGCATTATGTATTTAATTATTTTTCTTATAATATTTGTAGCATTAGATAGAGGGAGAAATAGAAACGCAGATCCAGACGCAGTCTGCTACTTCTGGATCATCCGCAGCATGAACAGTTAACGAGAAGGATATTATGGAGCAGTTTCTGGGCACCCGCAGAGGACGCAAGACTGGAGTGGGTAGCACACTCCAACAAAAAGTTTATCGAGGGGATGCGTCGTCATCTGGCTCACGCTCGGCAAGATCTTCTACGACACGTTCTGACCCACACGTAGAAGAATACTTGCAACAGAGTTACCAGCAAAACCTCCAGCTATACGAGAGCGCCAGAATAATTCAAGATTTCATCACTCAAATGCACCCAACATGACTTTCCCAGCGATTACTCCTCATGTGTCGTATGTTCATCCAGGTCATCCGCCTCCGAATCCTTCTGATGATAACGACAATGATTTTAGTGATGCTGCTAATTTAGGAGATTAGATTTTTATTAATGTAACAATTTGTATTTCTGCACATTTCTACTATAATTACTTTTTTATTTTATTTTATTAATTACTTTTTACAATAATAAATATTATTTATATTTTTTATTATTTATTTTCTTTTATTTAATTATTTTTTATTATTATAATATCATGAATTATATTTAATATTAGGTTTAAATATATAGTAATATACAACATTAATTACTAAAATAATAAAATAAATAAATAATTAATTAAAATATTATTTGCGACGACAAATGTGGTCGTAAAAAATATAAGTCACCTCAGTTAAATCTGCATCATTTGCGATGACTTAATTCGAAAAATGTTGTTGTAAAAACTCAATGTTATGTCATCTTAACGATGTAACCAACGAAATAATTGCAGCGACTCATTTGTGACGATTGTCGTTGCAAATATAATTGCGATGACTGCTTGTCGTGGCAAAAATTGTTTTTGCGACGATAGGTTTGCGATGACAAATGGTCGCTAAAACTTCATTTGCGATGACTTTCTATTTTTGGCAACGACTTTTTGTCGTCGCTAATAGCCATTTTTCTTGTAGTGCATCTCAATCAGAATTAAAACAACATTTTTAATAATAGAAAAATACTATCCATTAACTTGAGTTCGAGTTTATGAACTTGAGTTGAAGGGAAAACTTGAACTCGAGTTCAAACTCAAATTTTATAAAAAAAATATGAACTTGAATAAAGTTATAACTCGAGTTCAAACTTTTTCTGAGTTTCGTTGTAAGAGAACAACCCCTTCTTTATTTGAGTTTTTTAATTATGATGAACCGAGCCTATAATAATGTGTACATATCTAAAAGATTAAGAGCTTGTTCTTTTAGAGTAAAACTAAAAAAAAATTAAACTCAAATTACAATTTTATTTAAGTTTATGTTTGTTTATAAAATTTGAGTTTGAATTTAAGTTTTAACTTGAATTTAAAGTTAAAATTTGAGTTTAAATTTCTCTTTTAACTCAAGTTATTAAACTCAAATTAAAGTTAATAAAAATTTTAGAGAATAATAATTTTGTTTAAAAAATTCTACATAAGAGTTGTAATTAGAAAATTCCAAGGGCAATCGACACGTTGGCATTCCCCTGTTAAAGGTTTTGTCAAGATCAATGCTAGATGCTGCAGTCAAGGGACAACTGGATTTCGTTGGGTGTGGGAATCTCTATTCGAGATGCGGTTGGAGGTCTCCTAAAGGCTGCATCTCTCGGACTTTGGGGGACGGCTTTCTCCTCATGTGGTGAAAGTAAACATTGGATTCTTGAATCATATGCTTTTAATGTTGTATGTGTTGTTAAGTTGCTCAATTCTGAGGCCTCCCGATGTTTCGGGTCTTGACGATATGTAGATATTACGGGCTTATTCATTTACATTTTTTAAATTAGAGTGATTTGAGTTTAAATTTTGATCTAAATTAAAAGTGTATTTGAGTATGATTTGAGTTGTGACTTTAATTTAAGTTTGTGTTTAGATGTGCACATTTTGAGTTATAATTTGAATTGAGAATCTATTTGAATTTGTGTTTGGGTTGGTCAAAACTTAAATTTATATTTATATAGTATTTTAATAAAAACTCAATGATGATGAAAAATTTTAATAGAGTATATGAGTAGAGTTTTACTCGTCTCTTCGTTCTGAATGTATTTTTAATAAAAACTCAATGGTGATGAAAAATTTTAATAGAGTATATGAGTAGAGTTTTACTCGTCTCTTCGTTCTGAATGCATAGAAAAAAAAAACTCATCTTAATCAAAATTAGAATGAAAAAATTATGACGTTTTTAACATTGTTACATCTCTAGTTAGTAGTAACATTGTTTACTACGTTCTCCCTTTAAAAGAACTGCATGACTCACTGTTTAGCAAATTTCGCTTGTTCTCGGTCATTGAACTTGGTTTGGTTGGATCATTTGCCTTCTTTCATTGGTTCATATGTACTTGATTTGTTTGAATAGGAGCCAAGTTTTCACTCGATCGGAGGAAAAAAAAATCCAGGGGCAAATTAAAAGAATCATTCTGAGAAAAATAATAATAGGAAGGGGTGGCAATACTTTAAGGGAGCCATGAGCCAAAAGACTAGGCTCTGACGTTAATAGTGCATGTCTTTCAACCAAAGTTGTGGAGCATAAGAGACGAACGAAAGTCAATTTATGTCTCACCCATAATTTGATAAATAATTAGTGCTAGCATCGTTCTTCAACCTGATGGGACTCCACATTCATAATTTTCCTTTCCACATATAATGCAAATGAGATAAATATCCAAGTAATTGCATTGATTTGGATTTTACTATTTACTGTTTATTAATATTATTTTAATCAAATAATTATATTAATTATAAATGTATTAATCAACAATAAAAAAAAATAAAAATTTAAACCCATCAATCTAAAAGTGACTTCAACAATTTTCTCGTAACATTATTGGATATTAAATAAAACGTCAATATGTGTTTTAATTGACATCAAGGGAAACTCATTGGGGATAATAGTATTATTTCTTCCTTATTACTTTTCTATAAATAACAGTATTATATTATAAATTTAGGAGATTCTTGAAAACAAAAAACAAAAAAAAAAGTTCTACAAATATGCACAATTCTAGGAGTCAAACTTAGGTCCGAAACCACCATGCCTAAATCTGTTTTCGTTTTTTTTTTTTTTTTTTGTTGAATCGAACACTTTGGTGTTTTCCATGACTTAAAAAAAAACATATCACGGTCAAGTCAATGAACCAAAACTCAATAAAAATTGTCAGGTTTCTTTGCACACAAACCCCCAACTTGGCGCCGCGATGTTTGACCATCTCTTTATTGGAACGTAGCGGTCAACGCCTTTATCTCTTTACGTATTCATGAAAAACATTGGCTGTTGTTGCAAGAAAACACCAATACATGAACAACGAAAAGAACCATGCGTGTATCAGACGAACCTTTTGCAGTTCTAAAGACTGCTTCTTCACGTGGACTTCTTTTCATATATATATATATATGTATGTATGTATATGCATGTTATATATATATAATAATTATATACGTATATGTATATATTCTGATATTAAACGAATCGTTGTTTTTATGGGAAGATCATGAAGATGTCAACTTCTGTAAGCCCCTCCTCTCTCATTCTCTCTTGGTTTTTGCCTTTTTTTGGCAATTTTTAGATCTCTCTATTTCATGGCTAATTAATGGACTTTCTTGCTAATATTATTATTTGTATTGCCCTCAGAGCTCTACTAAGATGGACACCAAACGGCAGAGACCATTTCATTGTAGTTTCCTTTCCACAATGGTTTTATTTTCTGGGGCTTTCTTTATTTGGAGTGCATTTTTTTTCACTGATCATAAAGAGGTAATCTTCAATTTGCTACTCACTTTTTTGCTGACTAATGTGCTACTTAACTTTCTTCAACCCCCATCTCTGCTTCTTGAATTTCTTCTTTTTTTTTTTTTTTTTTTTTAATTTTACGTGGTGTAAAAGAGTACTTCTTTTATTTTATTTTACTTTTTGCGACAGAGATTTTCAGCTTGGAAACTGACTTATGCCAGGCAAACTGCAAGGTGCAACAATTGTGAGGTTTGTCGTTAACCTGAGGCCATTTTCTTTTGTGTCATGAGTCATAAAGATTCCGATTTTGGTTGTTTGGTTGTTTTTTCGGCTTTGATGTTGTAATTAATGAGGCTTTTATATTTTAGACCCTGTTCAGTCCTGATCACGAAATTAAAGCATTGCCTAGAGGTATTGTCTCGAAGACGTCTGATTTGCTAATGCAACCACTGTGGGGCCCCAGAAATAAAAAGGTTCATCAATATTTAAAAAATAATAATTTCCCCCTTTTTTTATAATAAAATTGTCACTCTTTTTAGTATTGATACAAGCTCTATTTATGGTACTTTTGCATAGAACCCAAAGAGATCAACAAACTTGCTGGCCATGGCAGTTGGAATAAAGCAAAAAGAAAGCGTGAACAAAATTGTACAGAAGGTGAAATATACATTTCATTACATATAAGATGTTTAATTGTTTTTTTTCGTCTTTAGTACTTCTTATTCAATGTCATTAATATTCCACAGTTCCTCTCTAGCAATTTCGTTGTGATGCTTTTCCACTACGATGGGATCGTGAATGATTGGAGGGAATTCGAATGGAGCGACCGTGCCATACATGTCTCAGCCACCAGTCAAACTAAATGGTATACTATATATATAAGTCCCTTAGACCTCATGTTAGTCATACATGCATACATACGTACATATATATAGACATACACATATAATGTATACATGTCCTTTGGTATTACCTGGTAATTAACGTGTAAATTTTTGACGCTTTCTTTAGGTGGTTTGCGAAGCGTTTCTTGCATCCGGACATTGTTTCAGACTATGCCTATATATTCCTCTGGGATGAAGACCTCGGAGTTGAACATTTCAATGTTGACAGGTATATATGTATATGTACACAAATACAGATACAAAAGATAAGAGATTAACTTGGAGTTTATGATTCTTTTTTGCATATGTATACAAATCACAACATTTCAAAAAAAAAAAATTTGATAATTAACATTTCAAATGTTGTGAACTTTAATTCGTTTCTTCTGTGTGTGTGTGTGTATATATATATATATATATATGTATCCACATCTATGTATATATGCATTGTTATATATATATATATATGCAGATATCTATCAATCATTAAAGAAGAAGGATTACAGATATCACAGCCGGCTCTTGATCTTAATAAGTCGACGGAGGTGCATCACCCACTCACAGCTAGAGACAGCAAACAAAGAGTTCACAGGTTTATTTTTCATATTTTGCATATAAATTTGGTTAGAGAAACAGTGTTATTACTAGGAATTTCAGATGAAGTGAACATTTTTTTGTCTTTTTTTGGCTCTAACTTCATATTAATATTGGTGTGAACTAACAGGAAGGTACACACGGTGATTGGTAGAAGGAAATGTGATGAGAACAGCACAGAACCTCCGTGCACAGGGTAAAAAGAATTTGCATGCGTCCCATGATGATTGATAATTTGATACATAACTCCATTAAACAAATTCTTATTATATTACTTAACAAATATTGTGTAATACAATACAAGTTATTTTGGCATACAAAGAAATAAAAGTTGATATACTAACCTTGCATGCCATTGTGTATAAATGGCGTATGTGACAGGTGGGTAGAGATGATGGCTCCGGTTTTCTCGACGGCCTCTTGGCGCTGTGCGTGGCATTTGATTCAGGTACCTATTTTTTACCAAAATGTTAAAAGATTCAACATGAAGAATGTTTTAAACAGTTGGTTTAAACTTTTAATCACCATTTTTCATAGTTCTTTTCTTTTCCCCATTATTAATAAACATGACAGAATGACTTGATTCATGCGTGGGGACTGGACTTCCAGCTCGGTTACTGTGCACAGGCAAAACTTCCATCCTTTTATCTGTATTGTTCTTTCACTTAATTATTAATTCTGTTGAAACTTTGTTTCATGTTTAAAAGCTAATGACATACACAGGGTGATAGAACAAAAAACATTGGGATTGTGGATTCTGAGTACATAATTCATTATGGTCTTCCTACACTTGGGGCATCAGATGCAAAAAAGGTGAGAAAGTTTAACAAAGAATCACAAATATCATTCTGGTCCCTTGTACGAATCAGGACGCAAAACTGTAAACATCAACAAATTCACAATTTGTTTGAACTTCGAATATGCAGGCGCAAGCAGAGTCTCAACAATCTGATGCTAGAAGTGAGGTAGGCCTAGTTTTCTTTCAAGTGAAATTTTTTGGCAGAAAACCAGTGCCTGTTGTTCATTGTTTGCGCATACTTATTGGACAGGTGAGAAAGTTATCTTTTATTGAATTAGAGATCTTCAAGAACAGATGGAAAAAGGCAGTTAAAGATGATGAAAACTGGTTTGATCCGTACGAGAAGAAACAATGACAAGACAAAATATCCTAGGCCCTTTTTTATATTTGACCTCATATGTTCATTTGATGAAGTATGGAAGTGTAAAGTTAAAGCAACTTCCATGATCTGAGTAACACTTTGCTGATATAGTACCTGAAAATGTATATTGCTATACAAGCTTGTAATTCTTTTATCCAATCTTTTCGACAATAATTTGATGGCCATTCAATTCATTATGTGGAACTTCTGTGATTCCTTATGTTTCTTGATTGACAAAACAAAAGGTCAAACAACTAAAAAAGAGAAAAGGAGGACGGAACAACATTATCAGTAAAAAATGGAAGAAAAATCACAAAAAGCTCCTTTTTCTAATAATCCCGGAAATGATCTGCCCGAGTTCCTCACCGCAGTCTTCCTGTACGTGGTGCCCTGCCTGCAAAACCCAGAAAAATAAGTAAATGATTGATAATTCAACGCTTTGAATGTTTGGATGTCATTAGCCTTATCAATTTAAAAAATTTTATGAAAAAATAGAAGTCCTATATTCAAAATTTGTCCATAATCAAGTCAAACATGATTTTGTAACTTTCCATTTATGCATGCATGACATGTATAAGAGGAAAGAGTTGGTACATTAGGAATCTGGATAAGCTCTTGCTTTGAATTTTTGCAGAAATTTTCAACTCCATCGAAGGTCAACCAACGATCTCTCTGTCCCCAGCAAACTGTAGTCTTTACTTTCCAGCTCTTGTCAAGTAGTATCGCCGTCGTTTCTTCCACGTAGTTCTGCCATGCACACCAACCAGAACAGTAGCGGAATAAGGGAAGCCATTCACAACTAAATATACAACACAAGAAATGCCTCACTTATATATATCTAAAAGATTTAAATTGCTCGAGAAATTAAACATGGAATCCACAATGAGAAACTAAATAGGTGTGGAATTTGATATCTGGTCTCTTCTTAGCATTAGTCTGTTTATGAAAATATGAAAAGATTTAAACAATTACTAAGCTGATTTACCTTCAATTCCTTCTTCATAGACCGACTAATTGCATTCAACGCAAACCCTGAGGAACCAGATGTAAGGTAAGGTCTTCTATAAACCATTAAATCATCTTCTTTGATTCTGTAAGGACCGCAGCTCGTCAAGGCTTTGTCACTAGCTCTTATGGGATCCTAGTTTGATAAAAGCAGCAAATTATTCGATCTTTTTGACAGGACTAATCCTAAACATGAAAATATGATGAGAAACAACACACTGACAGACAGACATACATACATAACATATGTAGTACAAAGAATCTTCATACCTGAGAAAATATTTCGCCTAATAAGAAGTTGCTGAATATGGACAAGGCTGATGGAAGGTTGGAATGCTTTGCTGTTAGCTTAATAAAACAAGGTAAAGACCATATAAGTTAAATGTTATGTTATCTTATAATACCAAACTTTAAGAACTGACTGAGTCATAAGTTTTTTAGAGAAACCGTACAGGAGGATTTAGGAGTATTATGTCATTAATCTTATCCTGATGAGTGCTAGCGTATTTGACAACTACAGGTGCAAAGTATCCCTGAGAATATATGTCAAAAGAGTAATTAATCTGTCGTATGACAATTCCTTGCTTGTATATTCACCCAAAAAGAAACTTTGACAAAATTACCTGAACAACAAGGGTCACCTTATTGTCGGTAACGTCATTAATTAAAGACTCGAAAGATGACACATACTCTGCAAAACATAATAAAATTGAAAACGAATAAGCATAGTGGACATTTTGTTCCTATCTACCCTTATCAATACAAGTAAAGCAATTACCATCCAGGGTGTAGTCAAAACCATATCCAGGTTGCGGCTTATCCGAAAATCCGAAGCCTGTTAAAGTAAGGCAAACAAAACCATCATAACATACTGTTAGTTAAAAGGCTAAGGAGAATTAAAATGCATTTAGCAATAAGGACGAACACATGTACATGTTAAGGTCATACCTAGCCAATCAAAAGCAATTGCACGGAAGTTTTTAGAAAGTACGGGAAGAACTTTGCGATAAGAGTATGCCTGTAGACAATACCAAGTGCATTTAAATTATAAGTCATTAATGGCGAAGCTCTTACTCAAACATGAGCACTAAGATAGTAGATAATATGCAGCAAACTATCAAAAAAAAAAAAAAAAACCAAATCAAAACAAAACTTGCCAACTTATTTCAACGATGCAATAGAAAGCATTACACAAGCAATTTAGGACCGTTTTATTGAGAAATTAAGACTGACCTGTGAAGGGAAACCATGAACTAGTACAACTGACGGATTATCAGCGCTTCCAGACTCGACGCAGAACCATCTATTGCACAAAATCATATATAGAGAGAGCATTTTTCAATCGGTAAGCCCTGCAAATAATCCAATCTCAATTTCTGCATATTTTGACCACAAAAAATTTAGCACTAGCCCTAAAGAAACACACTCATAATTTTTTACCTGAAAAAATCAGGAGGCGCCTGAGAAGCGGCACCCATTGTGAGCCCAAAAATTGGATCTTTTGCCTTCCCACCGGACCCACCAACCGGATGAGCTTTCACCTACAAAATATAATCACATTGTCAAAAACTAGATCTTTTTCTGATCATGCATTTTTGTAACAAAATGAATTTGAAGAAAAAAATTACTCACTATCTTCCCTTGCTTGAACCATTCATCAGAAGGGCTTGGTCCATCCGAATATTTTCCTGGCCGTAAACATCGAACACACCCAAGTTCCGACATTAATTTCAACAGATTTTTCAAGAAACAATACAATAAAAAAAAGGCATATACATATAGATATGTCATATGTGTATTGTTGTACCTCCACTGAAAGAGAATCCATCGCCAGCAGAAACAGGAGCATCTATCAGATAATCCTGACGAGGAAGAAAAGAAAAACGAACGTTTAGAAGAAAAAAAAAAAATATATATATATATATATATATATATCAGAGAGTTGAATAAGTTAATAGTGAATAGATTAATCTTACTCCTTGTGGATCATCGTTGTTCGAAGCCCTACAGCTGAAGCTCAGAGGCTTTTTCGTGCTGTTCCGGGCCGTTGAAACCGAAGAAGGAATAGGAGGTCGGAGGAGAAGATTGAAGTGATGACAAAGAATTGACATTGTAAGGAATTACTGTAGGTGAAGAAAGAAAGAAAGAAGACAGCTAGAGAACCGAGTTGGTTGTTGTTATACGAGATGTACATTGGTTGGTGGCTCAGGTTTCTTCCTGGGATGGATAGAAATTTCCTGGTCCTCATCAAAAAGGTCTTTTTTTTTTTTTTTGCATTGTCTACTTTCCGTAGTAAAAGAGTTTGTCCTAATCCAACGTCGTTGAAAATCGTAAGAGAAGAAGAAGAAGAAGAAGAAGAAAGGTGGAATTTTGAGATACCGGGAATTTCCTGGGACGATTAAACCAGTGGATTCAACGAAGTATAAAAGCAAATTTTATTTATTTATTTTTAAACCAAATTCTAGCCTTTTGCTTGCTTCCTCTCTAGTGAGTGTGTTCTTTTTTATTTTTTGAATTCTGAGTTGCCGACTTTTTTACAATTGACTCTTGGATTTAGATTGACAGAGTCAGAATATGGGAAAAAAATTAAGGGTGCAGAATTTATTTTAAAATAATTTTATATTTTATATGATTATTTTTAATATAAAAAAAATATTAATGTCCTGAGAGAGATGAGAAAACATAAATAAAAAATAAAAAATATTTTTTATTTTTTTATTTTATATTAAATTAAAAAATTATTTTTATCTTTTTTTTTTATTTTTAATTATGTCAAACTCTCTCGTTTTTATTTTTTTTTTTAAAAACTTAAAAATTAAAAATAAAAAAAACTCCAAACACACCCAACGTTTCTTTTTCCAGCCACTCCTAAAAGGGAAAAAAAAAAAATCTAACGTCCGGTTGTTGGCTTTTTTTTTTTTTTACGCGCCATTTTTAGCGAATTAACTAAACAGCCAACATACAAGGACTTGTTTGGTTGAATATTTAACGGTTCTGTTGTCTTACTTTTTTTTTCCTTTAGAAAAAAATTATGATCATCAGATGTAATCACAAATCTCGTACTTAATGGCATATTATCAAAATTTATGCCAAGTTGCTTTCCATTAGAATTACAATTTAATCTTTTTGTTACCTTATTGTTTCCTAACAAAAATTTCAATTTTAATTATGTTTTTCACTCATACTTACAAAAAGAACACCTTTATTTATATTTCGAACCCTCATTACCCTTATTTAGGAAGGAAAGGCATAATTTTATTACATGATAATTGATATCTGCCCAAGGGGGCCAAAAAAAAAAAAAAAAAGAGGAATATTATAGTAGTGATATGCTGGGACAATCTGGCTACCAATATTAGTCTCATAATTTTTCATTGACCACCCAAGAAGTTTAATACACAACAAGAGAGAAACACTAGAGATAGTATATTATTATACACAACTATATTAAAGAAATATCACATGCTTGCACGTCCATTACTTGACGTAGTAAGGAAGATCAAGGACATAGAGAAGGTAATAGGCCCAAATGACACCAGAAATCCCACCAAAGAAAAACCCACCGCTGAACTTGGCCCAACCCTCGGCGGTCTGAAGCTGGTCAGGTTCCTTCTTCCTGCCGGTCAAAGTCAACGCAGGGGCTGTGGAGGGCTCGCCTTCATTGAACGACGCAATTCCGTACATCGACAGGGCAATGCTCAGTATCACGATCAGCCCTCCCGCTGCCAACGACCCGGCTTGGCCCGCGATTTCCGTGTTTCTAAGTGGGCCCGTCTTCACGAACGGGCCCACCAGGAGGAACCCGTGGGCCAGGCCCACCTCCACTCCCCTGAGGAGTGGGCTGACTGCCGTCCGGTAGGCCGGTAGGTTGGAGAGGTACCACGCGATCAAGGGGCTTGAGGTCACCGGAGTCTCGAGGCTTCCGATGAAGGGATCGCCGTTGATTGGCTGGATCACTTGGTAAGTTGGCTGCAAAAAGTTTAAACAAGTTAACAAAATCAAAATGAACATCAAGACTAATAGTGTATTATATTAAACTAAAATAAGATTAGCAAAAAGTATATATTAAAATAATATGTCCTATACTTTATTTTAAGTCTCGTTTATTTCACCGATTTGAATTTTTAATTATAGTTTTATTACAATTAAAATTTTTTATAAAAAGTCACATTTAAATTTTTTTCTGTTACGATAAAAAATTCTCACATAAAATCACATTTCAGATTAAATTAAAAATTAAAATTCATAAACTGAGCGAGACCTTAATGTAATATTTGTAAATAATTGTTACTACAACTCTTTATTTAATCAAAATCATATTAAAACTTACAGAATCTAATACGAATATGACGGTTTAAAATATAATCTTTATTAGTAGAATAATTTTTCATATCCTACTGCAATTTTTTTTTTTCATGATCTAATTAGCGGTTGTTGGTAACTTCAACAATTTGAGTTGGAATAGTACAAAACTCAAGACTAGTTGTATATTTTTGAAGATAGTCCTAAAATTATGAAGTGAAAATAATCTTTCATTTTTTCATCTATAGATAAGTGGATTGAAAATTGTGTGTTTTCAACAGCACTCTTCTTGTTGTTCCAAAAAAAAAGCCGTCTATCATTTTGTTTAGCACGCATCACGCATGCTTAAAAGATCTGAACACTCTTGCGTTGTCTTCTATCATTTTGCTGCAACATCTTGTCTCTCGTGAAAGACTATTTAAAAAAGGCAAAAGCTGATCACCTTCTCAGACTGAATGGCTCTGACAGTGAAGCAGCGAGGACGTGATCTGTTGAAGCTGGGCAAAGCTCTAAGTTGAGATCCACAGATGCCCTTTGGAGAGGCAAGCAATTCCCAGCTGGCGGCACACCGAGTAATACTGTTTTTGGGCTGGCTAGCCATAGGAGAAGCACTAGCAATGGCCATTGATGTTTTTTTTTATTTTTTATTTTTTTTGGTTAACAAATTCCAACTGGAATATATTTTGTAGGAATCTTTTTACTATGCCAATTGAAATGCTACGTACTTTTTCACTGACCTGGGTTAGTATCAATTGCTCAAACATTTGTGGTTTGGTAGGGTCGACGTGTAATATAGGGAGAGATTTTATTGGATAGTTTATGGTCGTGACCTTATCCACCCTTATCCCATAATAACTAGTGATCAATGATCTACTCACACGTCGCTTTTTCTGCGCCTCTGGTCTCGTCTTTTTGTAGACCCGCATAAAACTATCAGCCATTGCAGCTATTTTGTCAATTCCTTATTATATTCAGGTATTCAGAATATATTATTTGCTGTTTGAGCTTTTTAGCGACCGATGGACGGTTCTTTAGTTTGTGAATTTGAGTTTTTAATTAGAGTTGAAATGTGATTTTATATAAAAGTTTTTTATTGTAGTAAAAACGTTAGATATGACTGTTTCTAAAGACTTTTTACTATAATAAAATTTAAATTTTAAACTCGAATTAATAAAATGAACGGAGTCTGTATTCAATATATTTACTGTTACGTGGGTCACGGGTCACGAAATGTGATTATCTTTTCTAGTGATAATTATGACAAAATTTCATACTTGACATGAAATTTAATAAAAATTTCAGAATATTATAAATATAATAAAAATAACATAATTATTATCATAATTATGTCACATTTTGTACTATGTAATGATATAATCATTATTCTAATGATTTCAAAATTTTATTATTTAATATTTTAAAAATTTTGTTATATTCAAACTTTACCATCGAAAAGAGCCCTTATTTCTAGGGAGAATTGGGCCGAACACGTAATAGTGAATGGAAGCCCAATAAGGGCCCAGACCTAGCCCAATCCAAATGGCTGGAACGAAATATACCATCAGAAGCAGCTAAGCTGCAAGATACCCCAACGAAATGGCTCGCGCAGTGCGAATTCTGAAGCTTCCCACAAACATAATCATGCCGCGCAATTTTCCTACCAACTCAAGCTTCTTTGACGCATTCAACTCCAACTTTCATAAGCTTCCCGGTAAAATCTATCTTCCTTCTAAAGGATTACTTCTATTACGTTAACTTTCCCACAAGTCTTGTTGTTAGTTTCGTTAGTTTTCTTCTTTTGGGCATTTTCACAAACACCTCGTCGTGCATGGAAATTTGTCTTTAGTTTTTGTTTATTTTGTTTCTAGTGAGATGGGTCACGTCCCAGATGCAAATTCAGTACAGAGGTTTCGCTGTTGTCAATTCGGCAAAGATTCAACAGCCAAAGAAGTAAGCTTTTTTCAAAATTTTCAATTCATGTTGTTAGGCTAGTAGAACGGCCATTTGCTGATAAGCCCCTTTTTCTCTTTCTTGTGTTCTGTTTTATAGCATGTTTGTGTTTGACTAGTGAAAGTTTCAGGAAAAGGAGGCTTGATGAGATATGTGTTGAAAGGTTCCAAGAATATAGCCGAACCTTCATACAGTCCTGGATATTACAAGGTGAGATACTAAAATCCACAAAATAAAATTAGAACATATATATTTATGTATGTATGTATGTATGTATACGCATGAGGTGCTTTTCTAAGCATAAAATGTTGTAAAGTTTTTACAATAGTACGAGATAACTAAACTTTTTGGTGTTATATTTTTGTTATGTCAGTGTTACATTCTGTAAATGTTATGTTACATTTCTCATGTTATACGTGATGGTCCTTGATTCTCCGGGAGGACCATTGATATATGCGTGTGGTTTTGGACTGGGGATAAGCTTCTACTACTTTGCTTGATCAGTTTCTTTGGGCAGGGTTTTGGGACTTTCCTTTGCAGACAATACATAAGCATGTGAAGCAGTTGGTTTGATTAAAGATTTGTTATGTGATCTATTACTAACACATCTACTCATATAGGGAAAGTATTTGTGGATGGAAAGGTAGTAAATAAAGCTGGAACGTCTGTATCTGAAAAGGCAGTTGTGGAGATACGGGCTAAAGTGCCCAAATATGTATGTAGGTGATTACTTTTCTGGAAGGTCCCATCTTACACATTTTTGTTAATGTCAAGTTTTATTTTCTTCGAAGGGTAATTCATGTTATGCTAATTTGTTACCGGCTTCGCTACACAGAGCAGGACACAAGTTAGAAGCTGCAATTGAAGAGTTTGGTATTGATGTTTCCGGCAAAGTAGCTCTTGATTCTGGGTTGTCCACTGGAGGATTTACTGACTGTTTACTCCAGTATGGCGCATCATTTGTTTATGGAGTTGATGTGGGTTATGGACAGGTAACGTAAAGCTTTCTGTTATTAGTTTATGCGTGTTTATAGAGTTGGTATACTTTCTTTGTGTTTGGCGCTTTTCAACTGCTTATGGGATGGATGGTACTAAGTTAGGTGGTGGAGAAAATTCGTCGAGATGAACGTGTTTGTGTGATAGAGCGGACGAATTTAAGATACCTTTCTGAACTCCCTCAAAAGGTTGATTTGGTGACTCTAGACCTTTCGTTCATCTCTATTCTCTTGGTAAGATTTTCAAATAGTTCTAATTCTATCATTGCTTTGTGTTTGGCTGATTTGAACCTCCTTTCCTTTTGTGTTATAGAATGTCCATTGTGATTACAATCATTTGCAATATGCTGCTTTATCTTGTTTATAGCCCCTTTATTTATGGCCTTTATTTACTAGCTCTTTTATGCAAGCAGGTTATGCCTGCTGTAGTAAATGTGATGAATGAAGCGGCGAGTTTAGTGACCTTAATCAAGCCTCAATTTGAAGCTCGTAGATCACAGGCAAGAATTTTTTCTAAAATTTTTTTGACGGGAATGCTTTCTTCATGATTAAGAGCATCAAGTAAACGTGCATTCATTTTACTTGGCTTTCCATTATGTTTGTAGGTAGGAAAAGGTGGGATTGTAAAAGATCCACTTGTCCATCAAGAGGTATGCACTGTCCTTCATAACTTTTGCAAATGTCATACTTCCGTTTAGTTCGCTGATAATTCGAGTTGAGATGTGACTTTATGTGAGAGTTTTTTACTGTAATAAAAATGTTAGATGTGACTATTTCTGAGAGTTTTTTACTGTAGCAAAACTCGAATCGGTGAAATGAACATAATTTTTTCTCCAATTCCGCAAGGAAAGATTGTCATTATCAACTATCGTGGGTTCCTGGATTTTGTTGTTTTCAATCATTCAGGGTTCTTGCTTTAGTCTTCTGCTTAAGGTTCTGTTGCATTGATATAGGTTATTGAGAAGATTATCAAGGGTGTAGAGAATTTTGGATTCACCAACAAAGGGTGGATTGAGTCTCCTATTAAGGGTGCAGAGGGAAATACAGAATTTGTCGCATACTTTATTCGAACAACTGAGAAAAGTGCAGAATAATTTCATTCTTTCTTTTATTTTATTTTTTAATTTATAAATTATTGTTTCTAATGCAAGATATGAGAGAATCTATCCATGGAAAAATGACCCCTGTATTTTATGGCTGCCATCTATCTTGCACTTAAAATTACAAATAACTGAATGCAAGAACGGTAAAATGTTTATTTCCCTGTATACCAGTTATTTTCATGTCCCTAGCGTGAAATCAATACAAACATGACAGTGGACTTTTAGAAACAAGATTGTTATTTTCCCCTCTAAAAACCCTTTGTCCAAAATGGTCTTAATATTAACATGTAATCCTTGGAATAAATTCATTCATCTTATTTTCTCAGAAGAACAAAAATATCTTTTATTTCCATACTTAATCACGATAATTGAGCAATTTAGAAGGAATTCTCAGACCGAATACTTGGCCAACCACTGATAGCCATGAAACAATATATAGTTCAATTGCCACTCCTTTATTAGCCATGGAAGTATCACTTTGAAAAAGCAGCTTCATCCACTCGCTCGTCCCACATGGATGTAACTTGTACCATGGTCTGTTCAGGTGCGGATGGTCCTGAAGAATGGTATAAAATTGGTCATTTGCAATTGTTGTAACAAAGAGAAATAGCCAAAAGATGACAAAAAAATAAAAAATAAAAAAAAATACTTCTTGAGTTATAAATGTCCATTTTGATTCTAGCAGTATCTCTGCCGAGGATGCAGGAAGGTCTTTTTCAATCTCGTCCAACACAAGAGGTTGTCCATCTGTTAATCAGCACATTATCAAATAATTCAATCACTCTCTAGTTCTAGTCATGTATAGAATTATCCTTTGCTGAATTGATTATGGTGTTAAAAATGAGAATCAAATAATTAGCATACCAGTCGTGTAGGCACGAAAGAAAAGGACTGGAACCCGATATGAAGCACTGTGCACTAAATGGAAATCGTAGTAATGTACTCCAAAACTATGCCTTTCAACCTTGTAAATAGAGAGAAATATTGAGAAAATTTACTAGAGGCGAGCGAAGGAATGGCAGAATATTAACTGAGATTGTGAATTGTGTACCAGTGTGGCATTATCAGCAGGATCTTCTTCCTCAAAGGAAGCCGTCTCTTCTTTCTCAACCTGAGTAACCTCATAGGAGTCTTCCTAGAAGAATTGAAACAAAAATAAGAAGAGGGAATTCTAGCCAAAATAATAATGTAATGATAATAGTAAGAGGGGAAAATTCATTTGAAAAATGGAAAAGCATATATTAAATTGACAGAATAAACCTCTAAAAGAAAAAAAAAAAAACGACAATAATATATAAAATGACAATAAATATTAAAACACAAGAAAAACTGGTAGCTGGAAAACGACGGAAAAACTAAATTAGAAACATCAGCCCAAAAGAAGAAACGACATTACCGGAAAACGACAGAAAAAATAGACCAGAAACCGACAGCAAATTTAAGGGTTAAAGCGAGGAGTTACAATTACAAACGACAGCAACGACATGAAAGAATCGACGATGGGCAAAAAAGACGATTGTGAAAATAATAATCCATCATCATTCCACACTTGGAGCTCTTCACTGGCGTCCACTTTCGAGCAGAGTGCCGAAACCTCTTGCTTTGGAAACCAAAGTCTTCCCTCTCTAATCAGAAACTATTCTAAGTAACAAAAAAGAAAGAAAAAAGAAATACTGTTCAAAAGAAATCAAATTCAACAAACCTGATTTCAAAAAAAAAAAAAATCAACAAACCTGAAAAGGTATATCTTTTTCAGTTGACTCGGTAAGGCATAGCCTCTCTAAGGTTAAGTATCCATCGATCTGAAAAAGAAAACCTTGACGATGAAATAATTGGCAATTTTGCAAGAAAGAATGGTTGGAAAAGGGATTTAGACGAGACTCGCACTAACTTGATTTGAAGTAAGACCCGGGTGTCGTTTTGCAGAAGGGACCCACGTCCATGGAGGAAAGTCAGGGTTCGATTCTTTCCATCTCTCGGCGAACGCGCGAACAGCGACACGGAATTCGCGCGAAGAGATTGTTCCGTCCCATGAAAGAACATCCATCGTTTGCTTGATGCAATCTCTGGCTGCTGCTTATTTTTATTCGAACATAATTTTTGTGTCGTTTATTCCAAGCTGCCTATTTAAACGCGACTTTAGTGTTGTCGTTTATACAAAATTTTGTCTCGTCGTCATTAATTAAGAACAATGTTAGTTTATAAAAGGCATTAATTCTCTCTTTCTTTTTTTTTTTTAAAAGGAAATATGAAGGTATTATATTCACTCCTATAACATGCTACAATTTTTCTTTTTAAAAAAAAAAAATTCCTTTCTACACAAGCTCGTCTACCAAAATATGAAATTATTTAAATTTTATAAGCGTGATTTACTTAAAATACCCTTTATTGACAAAGCATGTGAGTATCACACGTTTTATTCTGGTGAGTTCTAAAATGCTTCTTGTGGCTAAATGGTTGTAATTTGTAACATTTGAAGTTTAAAGGCCAAAATGGGACAAAAAAACTTTGTTCAACGACAAACAATGAAATTAAATTGAACCCTTAACTATTTCTTTTTAAATATATACATATGTATATATATTGTTGTGTATTGTTTAAACTTGGTATTTTGGAATATGGGTATTTTTGTTATTTATGAAAATTTCTTAGGTGTCAATCAATTGATTATTGTCATTGATGTTTTTAAAACGATTGATAAAACTTAAGGATAAATACAACATTCCTAAAAATATAAAGCGTGATGCAACATTTCCATAAAATCACATAAAAAGTTTTTGTTACTAGCCATTTCATTAAGGAGTAGTTCAGTAATAAACTAAGTTTTTAAAAAGGAGTTTGAGAATAGATTTGGAGTGGCAAAATAAAGTCAAACTTTATGCACTTCGAAGGAAGGAATGCTAAAAGCTATTTGGAATCATATTTTTGGCAAATTAAAAATTAAGAGAAATCAGAAGAAGGTTATAAGTGGAATTTAAAGCTCGCCTTAATAATTGCAAAGGTGGGTTTAAGTATTTACATTATGAAATGGACGTAATGGTACAAAGGACCCCAACATACTACAACAACTGCAATGAATTATCCAAGCACCAAGACCTGATAAGTGATGACAAATATGACATTATGGGTTGAAAGGGCTCCTCATTTATTCAATAACCCCTGCTTTAATAAATAATCGTCAAAATTGGAAATTTGTAACTTGGAAGTGCTCTTCTAAATGAGAGTTGAAACATCACTTTGAGGGCTTTGATGGAGTTGGCGACGACGGCGGTTTCAAATCCGGATACTGCAGCACATCCAACGAAAAAGAATTAACTTATAGTTAACAGAAGCACATATAAACTAGTGAGCAAAAATATGCATGAATTGCTAATATTCATGAGAGCCAGAGAGAGTCAACATACATTAGGATAGGGAGAGGATGATCTTGCACCATTTTTCTTGTCTAGCGTGGACATTGTGGAATTAGCTACTTGTGCATGGTCACTCCCTTGGCTTTCTCCTATGGCACCATTGTCTTCATTACTCCGAATAACTCTTCCATTCTCCCCGAGTTCTTGTGATGCTTTTCTCTTCTTCTGAGGATAGATATGCAGAGAAGGTGGCAAAAGAGTTTCCTGTATTTCCTGAAGAAAAGAAGGGAAAAACAGCAACATATAGTTATCCCAAATGAAAAATTTTGATTGTAACACCTTTTAAAAAAAAAAAAAAAAGCGTTAGAAGAGATGCCAAAATGTCGTGATTGTAACAGTCAGATAGACAAAATAACAAATTTGGGATAATTTGATATATTAAAATTCCAAAATGAGATTTGACCAGTAGTTTGAAGACTAAAATAAGATTATTCCTATTTCTGAATGTGAAAAACTGTAAAACAGAAACACATTGAAACACAGCCCTAATGAAGATGATACTATAAGATAGATGACAGGAAGCTTACCAACCACCCCTTTTTGCCTGCAACCCCACCCTTGATTGCATAAGCTGCTTTGAAGCCATTCTTGAACAATAGCTCAGCCACTTTCATGGAATTACCATCAAGACTACCTTACACAACAAATGTGCTAATATGAATCCAAAATTCAAAATCCAACTCCCTACACAAAAGAAGTTCCGAATATTGCAAAACCAGGGGCTGAACTCGTTTTTAGTCCTGAATTATATGGCAAATCCCATTTTGGTCCGTAACTTTCAAAACTTCTCAGAACGAGTCCTACCATCCATCCAACTATAAAAAAGCTCAACAGAAAAAGGCATAGTTTCTTTCTTAATATTCGTTCTCTGACATATAAAATCACAAAATTAACTCCTACTAAGTGGCACATGTTCGTTACATTTCTTTTTTTGTCCACATTTTAACAGTTAGATGGGTAGAATGACTAATTAGGGACAAAATAATAAATTGGAAACTCGTTCTAGGACGTTTTAATACCAAAATAGGATTTGGCCTATAGTTGGAGACTAAAAATGAGATTAACGGGGGAAAAAAAATCTAACTGCGATTTGCATTTCTACAGCACCTTGGCCCCCTTCGTCTACAATTGAGAAACGGAACCAAAAATAAACACGCACAAACATATGTTCCTCTTGACAGTTCTGTTTCAAATTTCCTAGTTTTTCACAAGTACTTTTTCTCTTTCTCCATTTTACTAACAAAGCCATAACTTTATCCGAAGGCGAAATATTAATTACCAAACAACATATTCAGACTTACTTGTCCAGAATGCAGACAACAGTATACTCAGGTTCCTTAAAGTTTCCCAACACTTTCTTCACAAATCCATCTTCATCATCCTCAGAAAATGGAACCTGCACGGCGCTCTTATTCAGAATCTTCAAATTTGGAGATTTGAGGGATCTCAAAATCTTCTCCTCCCTAATATCCAAGAGCTGCACATTTGGGTCGTCTCGCAATTTACGGAATGCATCAATAGCATATATGAACTTGTACTTTCTGAAATACCCCTGTGTTACGGGTATAACAAAGAGCCAAATGAAAGTACACCCAGCAACGAAAAAAGGGTATCTGTTAAAAAATCCATCAATGGAAACCAAGATTGATTCCAAGTTTATCTTGTCCGAGACTTGCTCAGTTGAGGATACTACAGATTCGGAAGCAGAGCAAGGAAGGGAATATAATGTAGTAGTGGCAGTGATAAGCCCGGAGAGCACAAAAGAGAGATGGGTTTCGGATAAGGGTTGGAAGAAAGATGAGGATTTTAGGAGAATTTGATGTCTTTGAAGAGGGTCCGAGGTGGGATTTCTGAGTAAGATATGGGTGTTCTCGGAGGAGGGAAAATGGGTTTCACGAGAATTTGAAGTTTGGGAAGTGGAAAGGGGTTTATGGAGAAGAGAGAATGGTTTGGAGGTGAGTGGTTTCTGGGTTTTGAGGTGGTTTTTGATGGGAGGAGAACGGAAGAACAAGGTCGCAAGAGACTCCATGAGGAGTGGGAACAATACCAGAATGGGGAAGAGAGAGAGGATAAAGTCATGAAGCCATAAAGGGTAAGGATAGTATGGGTTGGGCTTTTGGATTTGGGCTACACCACTATTCATGGGCTATACAATAGCCCAACCTTTTGGATCCGACAATTTACAATGATTCTCATTTGATGTCAACCAGCTTGAAGTTGAACTTCGACGAGTTTTAAGGTCATAGTGACAGTACATCCTCGATTCTTTTGTACCACTTCAGCATATGCGTTATATGACTAACCTTGCAAGAGTAAATGAGAGAATAATCTACAAGAGAGTGATTGTATTAGTGGGAATTTACAAATAAGAATGATAGCCACAACTGAGCGTTACTAGTTACTATTTAGGCATTTTCTACCCCCCCCCCCCAAAAAAAGTTACTATTTAGGCATATTTTTATCTATACTTTGCGCACAAAGTTCCTTTTCAAAGCCACTAACAAAATCCTCCATGGATGCTCTGTAACCCTCCATTCCTGGGACATGCATAGCAAGTTCCAAACCAACGCTCATCCATTTTTTGGCCACATCAATCTGGCCTAGCCTCACAGGCAACGCTGCCCTGTTCCAAGCAGTCGTAGCCAGCCATTTTCCCTCTTCAATGGGGTACTCGCCGTCTTTCAAACCCACCATTATTCGGTAAGCTTGCTTGTACATGCCATAAACAGCATCATCGTCCGCCTCCCCTCTGCGAACGTTAGCTACTGCTATGAGCTTCCGGACGATGAGAGCCACACTTTGGTACTCCGGTGAGGGAGAAGAAAGGAGAGCCGAGAGGCACTCATTTAGAACAAAGGCAGCTACTTCATGATTATGCCGAGGACCCTGCAAGGCATTGAGGCCAATCTGAAGGAGGTACTTGGGGCTGCAAGCCTTAGAACTCGCGAAATTTTTCACTAGTAGTAGTTGTGATCCTAAATCATTGAGTCTTCCTTGTACATCATAGGCGCAGAGGGTGTACACGAAGAAGAGATCTGTCTCAAAGCTGGTAATTTGATCGTCGTTAAGCTGAGAGCCTGTTGAGATTGACTTGAGTAACTGCACCCAAAGAAGCAATATTAGTACAAGGAGACATATTCCATATGAATAATAAAGTTGCATAACAAATAGATCTAATAAAGAAATTAGTTGTTTATTACCTTTCCTGCTCTATCTAGTAGTTCCACGGCCTGTTTCACTTCCGTGTCAGTTAACGCAACCTTCTTCCGATTCTCCAAAGCTATCGTGGCAGACACACTCAGTATTAGCGATTTGCATACCATAATATCATTTTCTTCTGCTTGCCCATCAATCGGAAGACCGTAAAGTTCTGATGCCAATCTCAAGAAATCGGCACATAATTGAAAGTTCATCTCCTTCCCATTTTTTATCCCAAAGTTCCATGAGCTCACGGCAAACCAATTCCATTCCCGTCTTCCAATTTCCCCTTTTCCAAAGAAGCAGAGAAATCGGCACATAATTGAAAGTTCATCTCCTTCCCATTTTTTATCCCATAGTTCCATGAGCTCACGGCAAACCAATTCCATTCCCGTCTTCCAATTTCCCCTTTTCCAAAGAAGCAATCAGGCCCAAGTTCGGATGCTCGGTTGTAAGCCTGTTTTACAAACTTGAGGACTTCCAGTTCATTGCCTGGTTCTTGACTTAGGATTGTCACCAACGTGCGTAGAACAACAACTTCTGTTGTTGGCATGGATTTTCCAGTGACATAAAAGTTAAGGAGATTTGACAAAGCGGCAATAGCCACAGGAAGAACGTGGCAAGCAATGGCCTCATGGGCTGAGAGGGAGAGAAAGTCCGGGCTAAAATCAAGGCACGTAGTCATTGCTTGAATCTGATTAATAGCACCACTGTGGTCGTTCTTTTGCAGATAGATTTTGAACTGCACAAGGTTTGAAGAGATGTCAAATTGCTTAAAGTTACAACCTGTCGTAAAATTGGAGCAAAGATCTGAATAAAGTATAATTGTGATGCTGAACGGTGAATCCAACAACGAACTGTTTTGCAGATCTTACAAGCGAGCATTGTGTGTGTGTGTGTGTGTGTGTGTGAGAGAGAGAGAGAGAAAGAGAGAGAAATAACAGAGACAGAAAGCACCTTCAGGAACGCAGAAGCTATGTTGGGTTCAAGCTGCAGAAATGCAAGCATTAGAAGTCGATTTTTAATAAGAATGACAGTTTGTTTGCAAGATACTATGTCTTGAAGACCAAGTATCACTAAGAATACCTTTTCAGCCTCGTTTATGTATTCTAGAGCTTGGTCAAGCCGAGAGAGACCAAGGTGGCAGAGACACAACACTCTATAGCCCTTGCCTCGAAATACTCTATTCTCTATATCATATGGGATATAAAGCATTGATTTTTCGAACATTTCTGCACTCGTTTTATAATCTTTTGAATGAAAATGATCTGCAGCACTGCAATTTTGCAATTTATAAGTAGTTGAATTAACTATCTGCCTGGCAGTATTATACATATGTGGATACTTATTACATTTATACATGTATGTACAGTATGCATTTCGTGTTTTCATAGTTCGAATATAAAACGTATTCTTCTATATGGTTTTCACCAAGCTCGGCTCCAACTAAACTAACAAGGTTAGATCCAACCGTATACCTATTTAATTGGATCCAATATTTCACCATGCCAAGTGATCAACAAGCCACTTCAAATAGTCAAGGAAGCAAACAACCAAAGCTGTAGGCAAACAAAAGCAATCCATCTAAGGCTAAAGTTACTAGGGTGGCTTATGGGTTTCAGATGGAATTCTAAGACTAAGGCCAGTGACTACAAAAGAGTGCAATAAACACGTTGTAAACTACTGCCAGAGTATATGATCATTGTATCTACAGATTTTGAGACAACTAAGCAAATAAACATTTACCAATTCCATAACACTGCGTGCATCGCCATTCTCTGCTTTGCAACTGCCTCACCGGAGAAGAGTGCTACCACTCTCTCATCTGACACGAGCTCCGCTGCCACTTTAGCCCTCACCTTCAACCCCTTGCCGCAGCTACCATCACTCCCTACTACTCTGTGAGCCAACCTAACAGCCGCACTGGCACTAACATGGCACCGCCCCAACAGCCCCAAGAATACATCCTTTGCCGTTTCTGCTCCAGCAGTCCCTGCTGCTTGAAAGTAGGTCTCTAGGGCAGAAATCCAAATGCCCTCCGGAATTCCCTTACTTAGCACCATGCCCCTCAGCTCTTTCTCCGCCTCAGCATACCTTTGCAAACCCAGCCACGCTTTCATGGCCAGTACAGGCAGGCTCGGATGGCGATCCTCATTGTCCCCCTCTCTCAACACCTTCACACACTTGATAACACTCTCGAACTCTCCCATCTGAAGATGAACGGCCGAGATGAAACGAAGCGTCTTTGATTTCAACTCCTCGAGCTCGAGCCTATCCTCCCGAGTTCTTGCTCCACGCAGTCCTCTCTCGTACAGATCCAGAGCCTCGTTCATAAGCCTCAAGGCTTCATTCAAAGCACCGTTCTCACCCTTGGACAAAATGCTCTTCCCGAACGCTAAATACTGGTTCGCAAGAGCTTTTTGGTGCTCAGGCGACCCGAATAAGAAATCCTTGGCGCGATTCAGCAACGCGACGGCCAGATTTCGGTCGGACACTTCCCAGGCAGTCCGAGACCTAGCGATGCTCAGATCCAGCAATAGCTTTCGCTCTTCTGTACCGGATATCGCACTCGCGTCAAGCTTCGACACCAGATCCGTAGCTTTCTCAAAGCAGGTCGAAGCGAGCTCGAATTTTCGGAGCTCGTGCCAGATCACGCCGGTTTTGTGGTAAAACGAAGCGGACTTGATATCCGGGGACGGTACTCCAGCGATTCCTCCGGCGACGGCGAGGAGATCGGCGGCGACGTGGCGGAGCTTGGCGTGACCTTCGGTGAGGACAAATCTGGAGGTAGAAGAGGAAGAAGGAGAACGAGAGCGGATGGAAGCGGCATTGGAGAGGTCGACGCAGGCGTTCCAGAGGCGATAGCTGAGCTTCCAAACGTGGAGCTTGACCGAGTCAGGGAAAGGTGCCGATTGACTAAGTTGATTCAGGTTTCGCCTGAGGTCGTCGGATATTGAGTCTGGCAATGGCTTTTCCGGCGATTGATTCTCCGCTTGCTTGATTGAGGACTCGATTTGGGAGAGTAGAAGGTTGTGATGGAGCTCAGATTGAGATTCATGGTGGTTTTGCCGCAGATCCGGGGTCGACGTTTCGTCGATTCTCATAACTTTTAGTTATGGCGGGAAAATTGATACGGAAATGGGGGAAGAGAGAGAGAGAGAGAGAGCTGCTTGGATGTATGATTTTGTTGGCGGTGATTTCTTGGAGGGAAAGCAAAAGAAGCGTTTTGATTGAGACTGCGAATTTGAGGACTGAGGATGGTTTGTTATGGTTATACGACATCCCGAGTGTGTCGTACGAAAATATGAGAGAATTACATTTTTATCCCATAATCACCACCAAACCTCCTAATTCTATCCCTTAAAAAAAAAAAAAACTACCCCTCTTAATATCTAACGGACATTTGAAACAATTCAAAAGACTAAAATGCCCTTAGCTTTAAACCCTAATTCCTCACCTATTCTTAGGCCTCGTTTGGTTGGGAGATCCTAATCAAAAAATCTGAGTCATGTGCGTTGTCTCGTGTTTGGTGTCGCACGGACTCAGATCAGAGATTTGAGCTAAGTCCTGATTTTAGGGTCCTGATTCAGAATCAGGCCCCCCCTGATTCTGGCTTGATTTCGATCTTTGCACAGTAAAAATTACTGTTCTTCGTGGAGTTATTTCTCACCGCAACCCCCAACCATATACCATATGCCAGAGAGCACGTTCTCTGCCAGAAATGCTTCCAGCCTTCGATCTTGGCAGAGATTCTCTGCTCTTTCTTGGTTCTCCTTCTCATCTTCCCTCATTTCTTCCACTGTTGTGCCAATTTTTCACTCCTCCGGTCGTGTCTTGGCAGAGATTCTCTGCTTCCTCTTTCTTCAATTTTTCACGCCTCTCTGCCCGAAGAAACTCTGCTTCCTCTTTCTTCAATTTTTCACTCCTCTCTTCCCTCATTTCTTCGGGCAATAACCGGTAGAAAACCCAATTGATTTTCACCTGATGAGAAATGCTTCGCGTAAAGCTTTGCTCATGAACAAACGACTGAGGCTTCACATTCGGTACCAATTTCGTCGATTCTACGAAAGGTTGCCCACTTCACGCCTTCGCCGGAGAGGAACAAGACGCTCATCGAAAAAATACAACAAACATTCATCCGCGTTTGGTGTTTGGCCGGCAGTGACGTTAATCTCCTCCTCAGATTCGAACAATTTACCGGTAAGTGATCCTCAGACTCCTGTTGATTTGCTTGTTTGGGGTTTAGGGTTTCTGTGAATGTTCTTGAATGGTTGTTGTCAGTAGAATTTGTGGCTTTTTGTGGAAATGGGATTTGTAGAATATAGACCACGGTTGCATCCTCCGTTGTAGCATCATGTCTCACTTTCCATTCTTCACATAGTTAATTGATTTACAAAAAAAAAAAAAAAAAAAAAAAAAAAATTTTTTTC